TCATTCAGATCTTTTGATTTCGTGATTAATTGATCTAAATTTTCTTCTAATGTACTTGTATCAATTTCTTCTTTATTCAACTCCGATTCGATTTTTTTTAGAATCTTGGACACGGTGGTCCTGATAACTTTGCGTTTCGATTTTAATTTAACAACCTACTCTTCCGCCATAGTTACTCTACAAATCAGAAAGTTTAGCCTTACCTTTTTTGCCAACTTCGCACACTTGCAACGTGCTAAATCCAATTCTTGACGGCCTAATGCACCAGCTGGGGTCAAAATATTCTAAGATCTATAAATCGACATCAATCACTTTTAATATGTACAATATTTACAGATCATAGATCAAACATGGTGATTCAGTTGGCAAATAAATCTATATGCTTTCATAATCGAAAATCGAAATCAAATAGGAACCGAAGTGTTCCTAATCAAATAGTGTGCGAACCATCAGACATCCATCTGTCGAGCTGCCGGTGGAGAGTCTATAGAAATTCAGAAGTCGCGTCGCGTTAACACGCAACGCTAGCGCCATCTATCAATTAATCAAAATAATTTCCACATCTATTCTTCTTAAACACGTAATTCATAATTACTTTTTTTCTCCTCAGCAGTTCGTTCCTCTTGTTTCTTTTTGAAAATTTCGATAATTCTTTTCAGGTCTTGGTCAGCATGTTGTATCATTAGTATTTGCTCTTCTTCGGTTAGGGACTGGCAAAGTTCAAAATGTTCAGCTATTCTCGTCATCGTATCATCAGCTTCTGATACAGGACCTCTGCTCAAAGCATCAATATGACAGTCTTTTACAGTCTTTTACCTGACCTATGCTTTATCTCAAAATCGTATTCTTGAATCAAACTACACCCCAACAGGCTATTTGAGGATTTGTAGTGTTCTTCGCATTCATATATATTCGAGCTTGACAGTCAGTAATAATTGTAAATCTTATGCCGATTAAGAACTGTCTTAACCTGTCCAATGTCCATATGATGGCCATTAACTCCAATTTGCTGGAATGATACTTTCTGCTTCTGTTGTTTTCCTACTTACGCAATAAACAAGATGCCATTTTCGATCTTCATCATGTTGCATTAGCATTCCACTCAGACCTTCTGTACTTGCATCACAATGGACTTCAGTATCTGCATGCAGTTGGTAATGAGCTAATATGGGCTTATCAGTCAGTTGTTTCTTCAATAGTTCGAACGCCTTCTTTTGTTCTTGCTTCCACTCGAAGTCTCGATTCTTCTTTGTCAATCTGGTAAATGGTTCGCTTTTAAACGCATACTTGGCACAAATCGTCTGAAAAATCCAGTCAGGCCCAAAAATCTTCGCACTCCGTGCACATTCTTTGGTTCTGGAAATTCCGCTATGGCTTTTATTTTTCTAGATCTCGGTTTAATACCATCTTCATTTATAATAAAACCCAAGAAATCTACTTCTCTTTTCCCAAATTCACATTTAGATAATTTCAAGGTTAAATTTGCTTTTCGTAGGCATTCTAATACCTCTTTAAATTTGAAAATCACCTCTTCCCAATATTTTGCAGGAATAAGTATATCATCCATATAACACAACACCTTAGTATTCAACAAGGGGCCTAGGACATATGACATTAGGTGCTGAAACTCAGCAGTAGCATTTACTAACCCAAATATCATCCTTTCGAACTGTCCTGTTTCATTTGGAGTAATAAACGCCGTCTTCAATTTAGCTTCTTCACTTAAGGGTATTTGCAAATAGCCATGGGCTAAATCCAGAGTAGTGAAAATTTTACATCCCCCTAAACATTCTAAAAGATCATCTATTCGAGGCAAAGGGAACTTATCCTTTATCGTCTGACTATTAAGTCTGCGGTAATCAATTACCAGTCTGTATTCCTCTGTTTTTTTCTTTACTAGTAACACTCGACTAGCGTAAGGCAATCTAGTTTCGGAAACTATCCCATTATCTTCCCATTACTTAACAATTTCTTTTACTGTATTACGTTCAGCTGCATTCGTTTTGTATGGGCGAGAAGACACAGGCCTACTCCCGTCAATTTCTTTGATGTCATTTTTATTACATTCGTCCAACCTAATTCATTTACTAATTTTAAGATATCGGTTCTTTCACTATCTGTAGTTGCATCATCAAATTTTAGGTCATCTATCTATATTTGGTGAATATTTTGAGAAATGGAAAATACATGGTTTTGTTCTTCATCTTTGTTTATATTGGGAGTGTCTATTTCCTTTAATTCCCAATCTTCTGTTATATCTATTACCCTGCTGATACACTGATTTTCTTTTAATCTGATGTTATTGTGTCCTATGTTCATAACTGGGACTGTTACCTTCCCATTTGTAACCTCCATTACTGAATCCGGACTTGCATGCTTGCTTTGAAATAAAATCAGTCCATTATTTATATATGGGGCTACAGAATGCACAAAGTTTATTGTGTTACCTTTTATTTCTATTGGTTTCTCAGAATATAATTTAATGTGTTTACGCTCCGTTTCGTTTTATCAGTTGCGCGAATGGAATTTTATTAGCATACCATATATTAAACGAATCCCCTATTTTCCCATAAGCCAACATCTGATCTTTCAAAATATCTCTCCCAATAATTAGGTCATATGGCTGTACTTCATCATTTACGATAAACAAATTCGTGGTTGTTTGGATTTCGCTGATTCGAAGTGAAACATGAACTTTTCCCAAGGTCATTGTAGGTGCGTGATTTACGCTCCCGATTCCAAGCAATTTTTTTGTTTCCGGTTGCACTGGTAATCGTAATTTCGAAAAAAACGAAAATCTTAATAGACTGAAAGCGCTTCCAGTATCAATCAAACATTCGATCAGTTCACTGTCGTTAATTACTGCTTTCTTCAAATTATTGCTTTCTTCAAACATGTTGAAACAGTCAAATAATCCATCATGATTCATCGTGACACTATTTTGATCTTTCATTTTGTCATTCTTCATTTCTTTGCGACTCTCTGTCTGAATCGGGAGGCATTTGGCGTCACAAATCAAGCTAGAATGTTTACGCTTACATGTTGTCGGAACTGTGCTCAGAATTATTGCAAAAAATGCAAATTTTCTGAAAAATGCTCAGTGCGGTTGCGTTAGGAATCGAATCTTGCTGCTTCCCTTTAAACTTCTGAAATCTATTCCCCTTTTCCAAAAATTTAGTAACTGACAGTTTATAGTCTACACTTTTGAGTGATTCATTATTTTCCCTTGTTTGTCGAAACAAAAATGTTCATTTTCGCGTTTCTATTTCTCTTCTAAGAAATTTTAATAATTCTGTTACATTCCAAGAATCGTCTTTTTCATGCTGTCTATAAAAATCTAGCACAGTGGAATCTGGAATAAGTTTGGTTAGTGGTGGAAACAACAAACTTCCATATGAATTCAGTTCGACACTAAGAGTTTGTAAACCCTGTACTTGGATTTCTATCGTATTGTATAACTCCCTAAACTGTTTCAAATACGAAGCTGATTTTACTGCACTTAAATTTAACAAATGGTTAATATGAGATCTTACAATGATTTCTTTTTTCCCGTATCTTTCTTTTAGCAATTCAACTGCTAAATCATAATTATTTTCCGATACCAATAGTCCTTGAATACTAATTAAGGCTGGTCCTTTCAAGAAAGCTTTAAGATAATTATATTTATCTACTTTGGATAAGCATTTGTTACTGTGAATTGCATTATCAAACTGTGACCAAAATTCCTGAAACTTCTGTAAATTATCCTCAAACGGTTCTACATGAAGTTTCGGCAAATTTATTCTTGGTTTGTCTGGTTCACTATTCGAAATAAGTGAAAAATTATTCTTCAACAAAAAATCTCCCTTATTTCTATTTGAATTCTGTAGATAATTCTTGACTTTCGATTTCACGTAGATTGTACGTTCTCTGTATTCCTGATTATTCTCGAGTTCTGTTTCTAGATCAGATACTTCAGGAATTAAATTCTCAATTTCTAGATCTAACTTAAATATCTGATCTGCTTTTTCGTGTAGATTCATATCACATTCTTCTAATGATTTTGTATCTACAATATCCTGTTCTAATAATTCACATATTCTGTTAATTATTTGTGTTGTTAACTTTCTTAACGTTTTACGTTTCGTTTTTGCTTTATCTAAAGCTTTCTTTGTATTCTCATCCATAATATTACCTAATAATATAATTCTATACTTCTAAATTCTGTTATCTACAGTTCGCATGCATTCAAATCTTTAAAAAAACGAAACTTGCCCCCTCTTCGACGTTCTTGGTACGCGAGTCATTCAATGCGTGCTTGCATCAATCATCCCACTTCTGAAATGTTAGCTATAATCCCCGTTATCAATTTCAGGACGGCTAGGGGTAAGTCGGGCTTTCACTTTTCATTCAATCGGGATAACTCTTGCATTTTATAAATGCTTTATTGTTACAACAATTATATACATATATACATATCATTACGGAACATTCTTTACATTAATCCTATTCTCTCGCTTCCTGATTCTCGATTGATATCGTACGCCCCCTATTGGCGGCTTTTCTACAATGCCATCTATTGGCTGATAACAAATGTAAAGCATGCTTGTGAGGTTTGGCTCGGGCCTTCAAATTCTTTCAAGGAATAATGGCCAGCAAAGTTGAAGATGAAATGAGTAATTGCCAGCTATAGCTGAAAAAAGCTCTTTCTTGAATTCAAGTATCCTGGAATTAAGTATATTGACTAATTAACATTTTGATGGGAGCCAATGAAGGAAAAGTATAAATAACTAGTTATAAATGTAAAACTTAAATTTGTTTTAAGAAATAATGTTCTGAGTTTTGAACTGTCTAATATACTTCAATGTATAAATGTCTGAATTGTAAGTTTGCCTTTTTGGGTGAAATTGCTTTGGAATTTTATATATACCATTATTTGTTTCAGCGCTTTAATGTATATTTGTTAGATTTAAGTATTTATTGTCTGTGATTGAATCTGATAGATTCGTATTTTCATTTAGCAATATGACATTAATATCAGGGACATAAAGCAACCTTTGTTGCTTTGCACATCTAAAGAAAAAGAGATAAGACAAGGGGCAAGCCAATCTAAAAAGATATATTTAATTCCCGAGCTTTGTCTCATGACAGGTAATGCTTCTGATTAAATTTGATTTTTTCCCCCCCCCCCCAATTTGATTCATGAAATTGTCACATTTTGAAATAATAAAATTGCAAAATTTTTTATTATATTTGTTTGAAAAATATCCCATTTATCCTAATTTGCAGGGTTAACTGATAAAATGAGAACTGATTTTACAATGATGAGGGAGCTTGGTAATGAAACAAGACTTAATCCAAGTCAAAGAGTTAGAAATCTGGAGACTTTTATTCAGAGAGTAAATAGGTAATATTTTTAAGATGTAATTAAATCATTTTACTTATAATATATATATATATATATATATATATATATATATATATATATATATATTTAATTTAGTTACAAAAATGGAAGTAAATACTTGTAATAAGACCCTTCTCCACGCAGGTGTGTTTATTGTTGTTTTGGTGTAACATATTTTTATTGGAATAGTAGAATTCCCTGAAAATTACATGTAGCATTGGATTTACCTGATATCAAACGTAATTTATCTGCATGTAAACTATCCTCCAGAATTAGTTCTTAATGTTAATGAAACAGTCCTATTATGGGAAGAATGCCTATTTATCTACCTTGCAGAAAAATGTGCACCAGGATTTAAAGCTGTGAAAGATCGCCTAACACTTCTCGTGGGTGTTACCCAGTGGAGACTTCAAATTAAAGCTACTTTTCGTTTCTCATTAAAAAAAGAAAAAAAAAAAATCCAAGAGTTGTGAAAGGAGTGTTAAAATCATTTATCTGTTAAATGCTATTGCAAAATAATAAAAAAAACTTGAACCGAAAGCGTTACTTTATGGATGATGCTTCAATCAACCCAATAAATTTATGTGACTTAATAACGTGCATTCCTGTGTAAGCGGTTTTCTTGCAGCCTACCACAACTGCAAACGATGGATTAAGGTGTTATATCAAATTTTAAAGCTTATTTATTACCTGTGGCAAACATTTAGAAAAATGCTTGAAAAACAGACTGAGATAATAAATTAATAAGAGATTTTGGGATCATGGATGCTCTAGAGAACAAATCTTTCTTGGAATGTCGGAATGGAATGAGGTTTGAAAGCAATGTGTAAAAACATTTAGCCAGATTTAAACAAGGACGATGATACTAGTGATTTTGTTTGTTGATATGAACAAAATAGTGAAATTGGCGGGGAAAAAAACAGGTTTAGATGAAGTTAATGTGGAAGGTCTTGGAAGAAATTTTACAATAAACAGTAAAAAGTGTTTCTGGTGATGAGCTCAGTGACTTAGTGGATTAAGAACACAAAAGTATTAAAAATAGCAATTCTGAAGAGAGAACTTTCAATGGCAGTTCTAAAAACCAGTTTATCTTCCATAACAGAAATTCCACAACAGTATTTGTAAGAAATAAGTTTTTATTTTGTATTGTTGTAAAATGGATAACAAAATAGTTGAAAAATTTTTATTATTGTATTCTTTTTTACCCTGATCCCATTATTTACGTGATGAGATGACCTCATTTAATGTTATTTTGTATAAAGCTCTACATTTGATGGAAATCTGTATTTGTTAATTAAAAAATGTATATATTAACTAAATTTTAGGAATGAAAATGTTGTCAAAGAGATGAGAGACTGGGGACTTAAATTCAGCGATACTTTAGTAAACTTTAAAGCAAGAGTTTTGCCCCCTGAAAGCGTAATACAAGGTTCAAAAAAGGTAAGTAATTTTTTATTTTCTTTACAGAAAAATTTTAATTTGCTAATTCCAAATCATAGTGATCGTGTTTGTAACACACAGGGTTTGTACGGTCCTTAAAAGTCCTTAAATTTTTTGCAATCGATTTTTAGACCTTAATTTTGGCCAAAAACAGCAGGAGGTCCTTAATTTTAATCATCTCAAATTTCTGTCTGTTTTTGTGACTGCCATTTTGAGTGTGAATTAGCATTTTGGAGAAATATTTCTGGTGATGCACTGACATATATAGTTACCTTTTGAATGGGTTCATGAGTTATAATTTGTTTCTATTTCTAATATAAATGATAGGACACACGTTTCTAAGCAAGAAATGAAACACAAGCGTTTCGAAATTTGGCGACTTGTCAACATTTTGGCGATTTTAAGATCAGTTTCTATAGAACATTTTTAATTCTGAAATCTGAAAATTTTTTGACAATTTTTTTAAAACATCATTCATAAATTTCATTAAAATAATAGTAACATATTGAAATTATATTTAAAAAATAACATTAAAATTAAATATTTATTTTTTGCTGTCATATTGTAAAGTTTCATTTTGGTAACTTACTATACAATATTTTGAATCTGAAAAGTAAACAAGGTATAATGCTATAAAGCAAATTTACGAAACAGCTCTTGGCAAAAGCAAAATTAGCTATAAATAAATAATTAAAAATGTCTTCTTTTTAATTTTTTCATAGTAAGCGTTTCCCATGTGATTGTCTCAGAATATTCAAAATTCTCAGAAAATGCATGAGTTTTCTCTATAAAATTAATTTTACACTTTTTCGTCCCCCCCCCCCCTTTTTCAAAATATTTCTGTCTTTTTGCTGTTACAGAATTGGTAGGGATAATTTTTCTTTAGTATTTTAGACATTCCAGCTTGGAAAAAGGCAAGATTTATAGACCCACGATTCTCGAAAATTCGAGAAATATGTGACAAAATGAAAAACATCTCCATGGTATCAACACGTAATGGATGTATTTTACAGAAAGTTTGCGATGAATTTCTTACTTTATGGAGAATGTCTGGAAGAACAATGAAAACATAATGTTTTGCTTCTGATACTATAATCTTTTTTTTAACATGTTTATCTTCCCTTTATTTTTTTCTCTACATTTCACTAGACACCAGCATGGAACATATTAAAAATGCTTCTAATCATATCTTTTGGACAGGCATTATAGAAAATGAGTTTTTTATTAATAAAGAAATTGAAAACTTACAATTTAAAAATTCATCTAGTATGTCTTAATGCATCATACACAGCTGGCACTAGGCATTTTCCCACCTGATACAATCTGTGTGGATTCTAAATTCTGCTGCCTAGTGCCTTTTTAAATTCTGCTTCCAATGCTTGCTCTAAAATCTAAAAGTTTTGCCATTTCTAGATTTTATTGTTCTGTGTGTCACTAAATTTTAAAAATTCTGCCACAGCAGCTCTGTAACTGGCCTTTATATATATTTTATATTACTAAAAAAAGAAAATTAGCTACTTTTTCTATATATTCTAAATGCAGTTAGTGCTTTTTAGAATAAGAGAAATCCTTAATTAAGTTCCAAAATTCTAGAATGAAAAGGAAACATGTCGAAGAAGAAACTGAATACGTAAAGAAAATTATTCTTCAAAGATATGTTCAGTTATTATTATGTAAATTACCCAATTGTTTATGATAGAGTTACTGAGCCAGATTAAATTAAAATTAAATTGTATAATCTTTCACCACTAGTCCACATTTCGAGTTTGAATTTGACTGCTCTTGGCAAAAGCAAAATTATATTTTGTTTATTATGTCACCGTGAGCTCTTAATTGATTTTGTTAGCATCAGAACATGCCTTTATGTTCTTTTTAAATAAGAGGCTTATTTAAACCTTTGTCTGAAATTGTAGTTACTTTCAGACGTAGCGATAAATTGCTTCATGTCTGTCTGGGACTATTTAACTTTTACCAGATCAAGTAAACTGTCATAGGTACATTATGGAGAGGTTGATAAATTATGAGATAAAGCACGTAGACACTAATGAGAGCATTGGTTTGCATATTGAGACAAATCTCTCATTGTTAGAAAAGATGCTTAAAGAGAAGGAAATCGATATAAACTAAGCCAAAATGTTTGGGAAGGCTTCAAATTAAAATGACTGATATATATATTTTGTTGAGTGTTGTCGTTACAAAACATAAAAGTTTTGCAGCTTTTAATATGTAATTATCCTAATATCATTTAAGACTCAATGTCATAAATTGCATGTATTTTAGACTGAAATTCTATTAGATTGTGATTTTTATAGGGGCCATGTAAATCCATAATGACTAAGGTTCATTAATACTCACTGTGGTCACAATATAAAACACAAAAATGTAAAAATTCAAGTAAAACTTATTCTTTGCATAGAGTGAGACTTAAAATAATACTAAACAACATATCATCTCTGGTGCTTTAATGGCTTTTTGGGACCTTAGGCCCCGTTCAGACGAGTGCGTAAAGGGCATAAGTGGTTAAAGCCGAGCTCTGTTGCCAAGGCAACCAGTCACTGCTACGTCACAGAATTTGGTTTAGTTCTCGTGGCATAGGGCTCTAAGTTTTCAACTTTACGCCGAGTTTGGGATGAGCATCGACCAATCAGAGCAAAGCTAAAACGAAGCGGCTTTCTTTAGACGATTTCGTTGTCACATCGAAGGCGACGTCTTTTTTAATATGGAACACGTATCCAAATGAGTTGTAATCGTATCCGAACAAAATAATGAGTTGTTATCGTATCCAAAGAAAATAATGAGTTGTTATCGTATCCGAACGAAATAAAGAGTTGATCTTGCAAGAAATTTACGATGATGACATGCATTTTATAATAAGTTTTTCAATTTATATTGAAAAATATGGATGAAACTCATAAAGCGAAAGTTAAGCTCAGGATTATGCACGCTGTGTTTGGTCCTGTAGATCAAGGATGTCAAACTCGCGGGCCGCATGCGGCCCACAGCAAATATTTTTGCGACCCGGCCAATATATCGGCAAAATAATGATATATAATAATAACATAACATATCGACAAAGAAAAAAATTAAATGTTTACTGCTAAGTAATTAACGATAATTTATTCAGTGTTGTTAGATTACTCACAGCGAGCTGACATACATACTACTTAAATTACAAATACGTGTGAGTAGCTTGCGTTCAGCTACCTTCGGCTTTTGGGGGACACATGCACACAGAACTTGTATGCATCCCCCGATAGCCGAATGTGGCGGAACTCATGGTCTCAGTTTTCCAATCATAGTTTTGTACGATGTATTGGTGCATGCATGTGCATGCACTTTGCTTTATTATTAATTATTACTTAATTCATATTGTTACGGATTTCATAGTTATTTATTTAGTTATTTTTTTAATTTAGAATTGTAATTAGATTTGCTTCATGTTGCCTTAGCAACGCAGAAAATTTTTGAAAAGACAGCTGCGTTGGAAGTTTAAAAATACAACAGCGCGTGCATTTAATACCTAATAAATAAATATCTCGTAATTGCTGTTGCCATCCACAAAAATCCAGATATTTATAGATGTTTCCAGTGTATTCGAGAAATTAATTATAAAGCTTATAAAAGCCGAGAACAAACAACTCATCTCAGTAGTAGCTGTAGTTCTATCGAACTGTTTGTTTACTTAGTGCTGTGATTGATTTGTAGCGATTTCGCTGTGACGTATAATTAGTTTCTCTGTTTTGAATTGTTTTTTGCTAAACGTTTGACATTTTGTGATATTGTTAGAATATTTTTGAAGAAATATTTCAGCATTTTGATTTATCTCTTGTGGAAAGAATAGATTTTTGTTAACTTTTTAACGTTAACCGTGTTCATTCCAGCCCTTTGTGTTCAGTATGTCTATATCAAAACCAAGTGGTAGTAAAATTAAACAAAAAATCGCTGACGAACATAGAATATTTCAAGAAAAATGGGAATTAGAATATTTTTGCTGTGAAATAAAAGATAAAGTAATCTGCTTGATATGTAATATTACTATTAATGTACCAAAGTTATATAATATTAAACGTCATTACGAACAACACAAATCGAAATATAACAATTACGAAGGATTAATGAGAGAAGAAAAGTTGAAAGAGCTCAAGTTAGGAGTGAAAAAGCAACAGTCCATGATTAGTAAAGTATTGCAAGAAAGTGAAGCGGCGGTGCATGCAAGCTACGTCTTGTCCGAGTTGATAGCTAAACATTCGAAGCCTTTTACTGACGGTGATTTCATCAAGGAATGCCTAATGAAAGCTGGAGAAATTGTTTGTCCTGGAAATGTGAAGGCTTTTCAATCAATTTCACTGTCTCGAAATACAGTTGCAGAAAGAGTTACTGATTTAGAAGCGAATTTAAGTGATCAGATCAAAGCAAAATCATCTAGTTTCAAAAGTTTCCATTGCCTGTGACGAGAGCACGGACATTAGTGGCAAAGCTCAATTAACAGTGTTTCTTCGTTCTTGTGACAAGAATTTTAACATTTTTGAGGAATTAGTGGAACTAATATCGATGCCGTATACTACCAGAGGAGAAGATATATATTTACTTGTGTTTTTGGACTTCTGCAGAAATACTATCTACCTTTGGCAAAATTAAATTCTGTAGCTACAGGTGGCGCTCCATCAATGACTGGGAAAAACAAGGACTTCGTAGCATTACTAAGAAAAAAACTTAGTGAAATTCACGGTTCAAACATTCATCATATGCATTGTTCTATGCACGAAAGTAATAAATATGGAGAATATTTTGTCATATATAAAAAAAGTTATAAATTTTATAAGATCTCGAGGTTTAAATCAGCGTCAATTCACTGCTTTCTTAAGTGAGTTAGATAGTGAATATTCGGGTTTGTCCTACTATACCGATGGTATGTTGGTTATCTTGCTCCAAGATTCTCACACAATTCCTGGGATTTGAAAGAAGAAATATGTCCAGTTTTTAAAAACGAAAAATCAAGACGTAAGTTTGTTTTACGATCCAATATCGGATACAAGATTTATCTTTCTTGGTTGATATAACCAAAACGCGTTAACGATTAAAATTTATCGTTACAAGGAGAAGATCATATCATTACGAACATGTTTGACATAAATTAAAGCATTCAAATGTCAACTAGTTCTTTGGGAAAAAGAACTTAAAAATGAAGATTTGACGCACTTCCCGACGTGCAACATGATCAAATCAAGTTTAGATGATACTTGTTCGTATCAAAAATACGCAGAAAAAATTGCAAACTTAACAACTGAATTTGAAATGAGGTTTAATGATTTTAGTTCCCTCAAAGACAATTTTTTTTTTTTTTTTTTTTTTTTTTTTTTTTTTTTTTTTTTTTTTTGTTTTTTCGTCGATTTTCTCAATAAGTATTGACTCAGTACCCAGCCATATGCAAATGGAGGTGATCGAGATTCAATGCTACTCAAATTTGAAAGCAAAATTCATTGAAGTGGGCGTGCCTGAATTTTACCAATATTTACCTGACAGGTTTGAAAATACTCGAAAATTCCCATATGAAATTATTTCCATGTTTGGTAGCACTTATCGGTGCGAGCAGTTATTTTCAGTCATGAAAGGTAATAAGTCTCCTATTAGAAACCGTATTAATGATGCTCACCTTGGGTCAGCATTGAAAGTTATCATTGCTAACAAAATTTCTCCCGAAATAGGAAAGATAATGGCAGACAAGAGATGTCAAGTATCAGAACGTAAACATTAAATTTTTCTTGTTCTTTTCTATATAAAAATATATATATATATATGTTTATTATTCGAAATCTACGTTTCTATGAATATTGATTTTTTTTTTTTTTTTTTTTTTTTTTTTTTTTTTTTTTTTTTTTTTTTGCGGGCCCGCCTAAAGTTAAACTTGTTTGTTTGGCCCAGTGTACCTATGAGTTTGACATCCCTGCTGTAGATGATTGATCCCATCCAATATTTTTCATTTTATTATGAAAATTCTTTAAAAAATGCATGCTTGCAAAAATTTTATTTTTTCTGTGTAAATTATTGATATTACTTTCTTTCTGTGTATGATTTTTTAAAATTGTTACTATAATTTTTTTCCTGTTTAATTATTTTTGTATTTAAGAAAAAATTTATTAAAAAAGCTGCAAATATTGTATTACTATTTGCTTCAAATGCTGATTTTCTTTTCAAACAAACTTCATGAATTAATTTTACTAAAGCATCAAATCAATATCAAGAATCTGTTTTTTTTTAACAGTAAAAATATTACTTTAAAGAAAAAGCAAAAATTATTTTCACTTATTTAAGAATAGTCACAATAGTCAACTCAATGGTGTAAACTTTGTATAAGTAATAAAAGATTAATCTTTTGAGAAAATGCTCCTATGAATTCCAAGAAGGAAAAAAATGTAGTGAAATATCCTTAAAACAGTCAAGAGTCTAGACACTTTTGTCTCCTGTTGAAGTTCTGTTCTGTTTTTTAATATCGTTCTCGATGAAAGGATTTTACTTTTAATGAAACTGAATAGCACACATAATTCGTAACATGGACTATAATTTAATGAATAGTATTTATTATTATTATCCACTCTTTATTACTATCATTTGAATGGAATTTTGATCATTAAATTCGTGCTATTTCTCTGGTAGAAATTCCTGGATAAGGTACGAATGTTTATAATTTTGATGTATTTGAAGACTTGGGTACTTAAATTTGTCAATGTGAAATTACTTTTGAGATTTGGTCGTAAATAGAAATGACTGCATATGTTGAAGTTGAATTCAGGGGTGCGGCTTATACATGCAAATTATTAGAAATAGGTGTATACAAACAGCTAGCAACACAGCAAAATGTATTTAATGATTGAGCATAAAATACATTGTTGGGTGAATGTTTCCTAGTATTGTACTAGTTGTGGTTGCTGGTGATTGTGACCAGTTGTGGGATACTAGTACTAGTGATATAATTGATACTGGTAGTGTAGCAAACTACTATAGTGATCAACAGGGACAGTGAATAAGGAGTGCTAAGCACACATGTTTCACTGTCATAGAAACATGTTCCTTTTGATTGAAAATTAAAATAATAATAATGTATATGGTAAGTACTATTTTTAGCTTAACTGCTTTCACACCTGCAAAATGGAAAAATATTATATACAGGCTATCTGTTAGTTATCCTCAAGGTGTTTTTTTTAATTAGGCATATTTAGAATATTGTATTTCTCCTAAGAGAAATTATATATAAAAATTGAAGAAGGTTTTATATATACAGTCAAAAGTCGTTAATCCGGACTCGTCGGGACTTCGGCGATTCCGGATTATCGATTTTTCCAGATTCTTTCAATGTAAGTTGTTTAAGTTTTGCTTCGTTTCATGTGATAATACTTTCTCTTTAATTCTATTAAACAGACATAATTTCTTGTTCAGTTACAAAGTTCCGCCGTTCAAGTCCTATAATTACTGTGTCAAGAACACCGACTAATTTGTCAATCGAAATTTTTTTGTTTTCAATAACCTCTGTCACTTTTCTTCGCTATCGGAAGCGAATTATAATGACGAGGAACTTGTTTTAAATCATATCAAAGACGGAGCATATCGAGATGAAATACTACATTTGGTAAGGAATTATAAGCCAAATAAAATAAAAACATCTGCGCTGAAGATAAGGATAGCGTTGACAGATCAACTTCCAAGTACCTTTAAAGTATATTATTAACTGGGTTACAACCTCTGGAACTCTACATGAAGCTATGACACTAACTGAATCAAACAGAGCCTGATTAAATTTCAACACTTGCCAACCGTGCCTACATCAGGCCTTTCAGGTTTGTTCGAATCAGCATGTCTCTCTCTCTGGACAGGCAGCAGCGGTGACAACATTCACTCTTTTGTTGTGAATCATGCTGATTATGATCTTACTTCTATTTTAACCTATGCCGCTTGACATTTTACATTTTGGGGCCATTTCTGTGTCTAAAATGTTAACAGGAGAGTTTCAATAACATTAAATTAATGAGAACAGAATGAAGCAAAAGATCAAAAGCAGAAACCAAGTTTATGTCAATGGTTATACCCCAAATCCTTACGAATATTTTTGTTCATTAAGTTGAAGTGTCAAGTTACTCTTTAGGTTTGATGGATTTTCTTGTAACCTGAGAATACATATAAATTTCAGTGATCTTTTCTGATCCTCATATTTAATAACATTTACCAGAGATGTTTACCAGTGTCATACCTGCCAACTTTAACGAATTTTTCATAATTTTTACGAAAAAGCGCTTGTCTTTACGATTTTACGATCGTAATCCATTTTTTACGATTTTTTTTTCCTTTTTCAAGTGTTTTTAGTGATTTTTGTCGAAATTTTAGAATTTTTCGGCAATTTAGCGAATTTTGCCAATTGCATCGTGTTTTACTACCGACTACTTCGAATCCAGTAAGCTGCGGTTTCTCCCAACTCGACGCTTAATGTGCTGAATTGTTTCTCCCACTCTTCTTTTTTGTGGCAGATTATTTTTTTCGCGTTGCTCAGCAGCAAGGGAATGACTCAGCAGCGTGGATTGCGCATTCTGTTTGTTTTTTGTTTGCACGTGCTACGCATTTTCTTAATACGTCGTTGTCGAAATGAGTTCAAAAAAAAACCATATTTCTCAATATTTTGGCCTGCTACAAAGCCGAATTTCCAACAATTAAAGAATCTTCAAAGGAAATTCTAGAATTTCCAAAGAATTTTGGCTAAAGCCAAAAAATGCACTCTAAATTCATTGCAATAATTTTTTGTGTAACATTAGCTCTGTTTATTTTCCTAATAAATTTTTTAGTTACTACTTAATTGAGATTTACTAATGTAAGTACAATTTTTTTTTCTTTTTTTATAAATTGTTATTTTGTTAATATCAAAGCATGATATTAATTCTTCGTGTTCTTCTGAATTTTGGAGAAATCTTCTGAATTTTTATCTTTAGAGGTTGGCAGGTATGCAGTGTTGACTGTTACTCATTTTGGCTGTGGTACAGATTGTCACTTTGAAACTTTTCCCCCCTTTGCTGCTGTAAACGAAGTATAGTTGTATTCTCGATTTGTATGACAGCGCCTGAAAAGGTAATAATCTTTCCAGGCCAAACATCAGTGCAAGATTTACACAGTCATTGTTCTAACTTTTATTCATTTTAATTAAATACAAAAATTTTATCATTTTGGTGAAATTTAAAGATTTATTGTGACATTCCACATCACACATCTGTGGAAATGTTCATCTACAATTTTCATGGGGGAATGAATTTACTGCAGTACAAAGTTCAGAATATGGACATCCAACATGTGTACCACCAGCCAGCGTAAAAAAAAGTAAATAAATATAATCTGGAAATGTAGAATTTTGATCAAAACACCTGCTTCCATAACAAACAGGTGTTCCATAAATGCAGTTTTTCTCCTTTTCTTTGTGACCTAGTAGTGTAAAACAAGCCTAAATATTTCCATGCCTACATGCCATTTTATACTGGCTTTAGATCGATCTAAAATCCAGAATCTGCAAAGTACTGACAATTCCGGACTTCATGCTTTGTACTGTATATTTTTATTTCATAATAGTAACATATTTTTTTTCCCCAGTCTGACTATAAACAGAGCTCTGGGGATTTTTCAAAAGAAGTACGAGGGTTACCATTGCATGCACCTATGAGTTTAGAGAATTGGCTCGTCATTTGTACTGGCTATGATGAAGGCAAGTGTAATGATTTTCTACAAACGATGGAGAGAGTTTGTAAGCCTATGGGAATGCGTGTGAGATCTCCAAATGTGTAAGTACTGTCTGCATTTTGTTTTATGTTTATTTAGATATGAAATGAAAGTTTAATTTGTAGATGCATAAATTGATGTGGGTGTTATTTTAATATTTTTGTTCTATTTATTGCAATGTCTTATTAATAATTTAGTGAGTATGGAAATTAAATGTAAAAATTCATTTGTGTAAAGCAGTTTATGTATACATGTATATAATTCAGTTCTTTGGTGTATGTATATATATATATTGGTTCACTGCATAAGTTCGTGTGAATTTAGAGTATGCGTGGAATTCATATGACGCATTTACTAAAACAATACAATTCTAAACCTGTTGAAACTTGTCATCGTTTGACTAACATATTATTCAGTTCATTGCCAACTTTCGTAAATATCGAACACATTTTAGTACTCATAGAAGATGAATATAGATAATCAGTACAAACGTGCTGGACTACATTTTTTATTTTCATGTGGTGAATCTGCCAGGTTTGCAGCAATAAAAATTAATAGTAATGCTGAACAAACATAGTATTAGTGTAAAGACTGCCCAGAAATGGTTTAAAAAATTTAAAGTTGGAAAAAGCAGCATTGATGATGAACCCCTTCAGGACGTTTTGAACTGTTAGAACAAACTCAAATGATTAATTCAGAAGTTTATAGTAAACAATTTTGCCATCTACACTCAGAATTGATCAAAAAACACCCACAATTAGTGAATATCAAGAAAGTGTTGTTTGATCATAATGCTAGACCACATACGGCTCGAAATAACACTGCAAAAAATTAGTGAATTTAATTGGGAGCTTTCGCCACATTCAGGGTTCGTACGGTCCTTAAGACTCCTTATAAGTCCTTAAGTTTTTTTGGAATCAATTTTTGGTCCTTAAAAGTCCTTAATTTTGGCCAAAATCGACAGAAGGTCCTTAATTTTAATCATCTGAAATTTCTGTCTGTTTTATGACTGCCATTGGGTGTGAATAGCATTTTGCAGGAATATTTGGCGATTCACGACAAATATGGCTATTTTTATGGATATGAATTATAATGTCCTGTTTGTAATATAAATAATGGTGGATAATGGTGAAACATCAGCATTTCAAAATTTCATTTTTTGTAATGAAGAGCTCTCAAACAACTTTTCGCTTTTGGTTATAAGAATTCTTTTATTGAATGGCTCTAAATTTGGCGATATTAAGATTGGTTTCTATAGAAAATTTTTAATTTTGAGATCTGGGAATTTTTAACGATTTTTTAGAACATTCTAACATTGTTAAAATTTCATTAAATAGTGGTAATATTATGAATTATATTGAAGAAATACATTAAAGTAAGCATTTTTATTTTTCCACTGTCATATTATAAGTTCCATTTTGGGCACATTTACAATTTTTTGATTCTGAAAAATAAGCAAGGATAATGCTATAAAGCACAGTTTACAAACATTTTTAGCAAAAGCAAAATAGCTATGTAATAATTAAAATGTTTTTTTAATTTTTTCATGGTAAGAATTTTCCCATTTCTTAGAATGATCAGAATTCTCAGAAAAATGCACCAGTTTTCTCTATAAATTAATTTCCACTTTTTTCCTCGATTTTTTAAAAACATTTCTGGCTTTTGCTGTTACAGAATTAGTAGGGGTAATTTTTCTTTAGGATTTTAGACATTGAAGCTTGGAAAGTTTAAAAAGGTTTTAAGGCAAATTTAAAGGCCAGAAAAATGTGATAAAATGAAAAATGTCAACATGTAGTTTCCTACATTTTGGAAAACATCTGGAAGAACAATGAAGACATAATAGTTGAATGTTTTACTTTTTATTCTATAATCGCTTTCTTAACATTTTTATCTTCCCTTTATTTTCTCTACTTTTCACTAGACACAAGCATGGAAACAGAGTTGCCAACTCTCCCGCTTTTCAACCACTCTCCCACCAACCCGATTTACAATATATTTCTCTCGACTTTTTCTTATTCTTAAAATTTCTCACGATTTTTATGGAACTTGGATTAATACTTCGTTATATGGGGGGGTGAGTGATTTTGGACGTCTGAAAGCAATTGAATTTTATCTAGATTATATCTAAAAGAAAACCTTGCGAATCAGATAAGAATTTCTGCTTTGTGAGTGAGAGCATATGTATCCAGAAACGTTGTTGTCCAGTTCTCCAATGGGCATCTAGCTCCACTGCGTGTCATCTGGCATATATCGGCCAATGAGCACAAAGCTGTTAGTTGTAGTAATTGATAAACAGATTTCGGAATGGTTAGAGAAACAAAGGATATGCCTTTATCCATTTTTTGCAGGAATTTCACTTTTTGTTTGATGGACATCGAAACATACTTTTGCTTTGTAGATCCTTCGGCAGCTCCAGCATCCGAAATTCTATTTGACATAGTCAAAAGTTCAAGCTTACGTTTATAAAATTGCTCTAACAGTCTGCAAAAAATAATAAGCCGTATCCAATTTGAAGATTAAGGAACAACGCAATCTGCAACATTAACTGAAATAGATAATTAGATAATTTTAGCTTAGCTTATACCGCCCGTTATACATCAAACGCGCGTGTGCAAACGTATTATGCGCAGGCGCATGCGTGAATGCATTATGCGTTCAGAAAGTTTGTAGCTTTGAAGTCTGGATTAACGACTTTTGGCTGTACTACCTATTTTTTACTATACCTGTGACAGAATGCATCGAATCATGCTGCAGCTTTATTTAGAAAAATGTTTCCCCGGAGCAAAATGGCCAATTACTTTAAGTGCATTGGTTAGAATGGCTGCAATTAAAGAAATGAGTATGAAAAGTAAATCTTCAGTTATTTATTGCACTAAAAATGGTTCCTTTCTGCCCTTCTATGGATGGAAGCCTTGATACTGATGGAAAAATATATCCATTTGTTTCTCATTTTAATCCAGATTCTTCAGAAATTATATGTAGTTTACTTTCTGTCTGTCCTTTAGAAGGTGATTTGGCTGGTTAGCGCAGTTTGTAGGACAACATTTTAGCTAAATAATCATTAATCAATGAATAAAATTTACTTCTGTACATATAATTTTGTGCATGTTAATGTGGTTTTAAAAAATCTGAAATTGGCTGCTTGATTTTTTGCTAAATTTTGCATAAGGTTATGGTTGGCAATTTTCTCTTCCATTACTCCTATTAAATTTAAATTCTTCTATATCATTTCATGCCAAGCTTTATTCATGTGCCCGTCTGCCAAAATATTACACACACACACACACACACATGTATATATAGATGTAGTATTTTAACTGCGTAGAAGACACTGGTACTTTTAACAGCTTGCAGTTGTCATGGCTGAATGAAAAATACTGGAAGAAGACGTTGACGAAACTGAATTTGGCGAATTACCATCTTTATTTTTAAACGCTTCAGATCATCTCTTTGGCAGACAAATTATTCTTCAATTACCATTGAATACAATAAATTTTTATGTAAACTGGTTTAAAAGGTATGATGTAAGGTTCTTAGACAGCATAAGTAGTGTCGGAAAAAAAGAGGAGGCCATCATTGCTCGCAACCCAGTATTTATGCTATGTAGGTGCATAAGTAAAACTTAGCTTTGATTGGTTAATTTTAGTTTTAGTTACCTTTTTCAAGTAGTGTTATATAATTTGGAAAGTTCTCGAATTTGGGAGAAAGTATGATTTTTGGGGAAGGACATAAAATTTAGAATTTTAAGGTTGCCAATTATTTCTCAACACAGATGTTGCATTTTATTGTATCTTGCATATATATTTACATCTCTATGCATGTAGAGAAATGTGCTTTTATGTATAAAAAAAATAATAGAGCGTGTAACAAATAATTTGGATAGCTTTATAAGTTCTTGATTTTTATATTGAAATTTTTTTAGTGTTGTTATTCAAGGAGACCGTGTAAACAATTATTTGCAAGCATTTCGTGATAACTATAATGCCAGAACAGAGATGGTTGTGTTTATTGTTCCTAATGATAGGAAGGAAAGATATGATGCATTAAAGAAGCACACATGTCTAGATAATGCAGGTAAGGTAAAAATGTTTTAATTTACTACCCAAAAATATTTCATAATTTTATGGAAAAATCATGCATTCCTGTACTTTGTTTTCAGTTGGTAAGATAATTTGAAATAGAAATGAAACTATTGCATTATGTATGTGATATATTAGTGCTGGGATTTTTTTTCAGTAATTGCACCAGATAATTTATGTTAAATTTTAGGCCAAATTCTGATCCAACCACTTCTTGGGCACTATCCTGGGGTCCTTATAAATACGGAATCAAGAGGTTGAGCCACGGTCAACTGGAAAACATGGCCTGGTTAGCTACAGGTTGATGTCATGGAAGGCATCTTTCCTTGATCTTCTTTGCTTAAGATTTGAATAGCAATTTTTCGTTTAATATTTAGATTCTTTTGTTTTTAATAATACATAATAATTAAATTCTTAGAGACTAATGGAACAGGGTTTGAACGGTCCTTAAGTCCTTAAATTTTTTGAGAATCGATTTTTGGTCCTGAAAAGTCCTTAATTTTCCCCAAAATCAGCACAAAGTCCTTAATTTTAATCATCTGAAATTGTTTTCTGTTTTTACAACTCCATTTTGAGTGAGAATTAGCATTTTGGAGGAATATTTTTGGCGATTCACTGACATATATGGTTATCTTTTGAATAGGATATAATTTGTTCCTATTTCTAATATAAATGGTGGAATACTCGAGTTTCTAAGCAATAAGTGAAACATAAGCATTTTGAAATTATTTAATTTTTTCTAATGAAGAGTTTTTAAACAACTTTTTGCTTTTGGAGATGTGGCTTCTTTTACTAGACCATTCTAAATTTCGCGACTTGTCAACAATTTGGCAATTTTAAAATCAGTTTCTATAGAACATTTTTAATTCAGAGATCTGAAAATTTTTTGATGATTTTTTTAAAACATCATAACATTGATAAATTTCATTAAAATAATGGTAACATATTGAAGTTATATTTAAAAAATGATGTTAAAATAAAACTTTTATTTTTTGCTGTCATATTATAAAGTTTCATTTTGGCAACTTATTATACAATATTTTGAATCTGAAAAATAAACACGGTATAATGCTATAAAGCATAATTTACGAAACAGCTCTTGGCAAAAGCAAAATTAGCTATATAATTAATTAAAAATGTCTTTTTAATTTTTTCATAGTAAGCGTTTCCCCTTGTTATTGTCTCAAAATTTCCAAAATTCTCAGAAAATGCATGAGTTTTCTCTATAAAATTAATTTTACACTTTTCCATCCCCCCCCCTTTTTTTCAAAATATTCATGTCACTGGTTTACAATTTTGCTATGAATCATGCTGATTATAATCTTGCTTCTCCTTTTAACCTATGCGGTTTGACATAAAATCTCCTATTTACTAAACCTCTAAACTGATTAAGTATGTGACAAAATGGGACATAAACACACACACATACCAGGGGGTGGGGGAACCGCCAACATAAAGCTTGTAGAGACACTAGGTATTTGGAAACGCTGGAGAGATGAAAAATGAGCTACCGCCTTCGCCGGGAATCAAACCACGGACCTCTGGAATACCGGCTCAGCGAGCACAACCAATACACCACGGAGGCACAATAGGAAAGTGGGAGAAATACCTTATATAGTTCCCCTTTTAGGAGGGCAACTGGGGTTTTTAGGTGACCCAATCGCCAAATCCTGGGTGTGGAGAATCCTCATCCAGCACCCTTTTAGTTCAGGCACAACTGTAGAGACATTAGGTATTTTTTGCCTGGGTGTGGAGAATCCTCATCCAGCACCCTTTTAGTTCAGGCACAACTGTAGAGACATTAGGTATTTTTTGGAAGCAGGCAAGATGAAAAATTAGCAACCGTCTTCCCCGGGAATCGAACAACAGACCTCTGGAATACTGGCCCAGCGTGCAGAACCATTCCACCATGAAGGCACGCTAGGAAGGCGGGAGAAATACCTTATAAGCTAACTAATTTAAAAGTCAAACAAAAATCAGCATTATATTTTCAAATTTTCACAGGACTAATTTCGATGCATCAAAACTAGTTTGGTGTGTTATTGTATCTTAATTATATAAAGCTAACTGTTAGTGAAACGTAAATGTCACTTATATACTTTCAAATATGTTTTTAATGCTACTTGATAAATTGCATAAAGTTTATTTCATTCTCAAATGTATTAATAATTATGTTAATTAATTCATGTTTAGTAATAATGCATACTACTTAGGGATCTATTTTATTTTTAAGAAGGTGTTACAAAAGTGAAATTCAGGCATAGATAATATTTTTAATTGAATTTATTGTTCCCATTCGTTCATAGGTCCTTAATTTTTTCATTAATGGTCTTTAAAAGTACTTAATTTCCGTTTGCAGAAATGTGTATGAACCCGGTGGAAAAATACATATAAAAAGGTTATCTGTTTGCAGTTAAGATTAATAGCATAATGTTTTACAAAGTTTTTTAGAATTATTTTTATACTATAGATGTTTTAGGTTTGTCTGAAAAGCCAAGTTTTAAAATAAATAATTGTTTTAATTACTAGCATAAATATATCTTTAATGTTTGATTAAATAGTCTTTAACTATTCTGAAAAATGTGCTTATGAAATTTACAATTTATTTCATTCATTCATTCCAAATTTTGCGGATGCTGAGGAAAGGGGGAGCAGAAGAATGAAAAGTGTAAATAATTTACTGAAAATAATTATTTAGCAAATTAAAGCACATAAGAAAGGATTTTGTTAGTATCTTTTTACAATATAGTTACTTATTGATCATTATTGTAGTTTTAACTCTCAAGAATAACTTGAACAACCAATAATAACTATAAATATTATTAAAATTATAAATACTTCAGATTTCAAAAAGTATGGAAGTGTATTTTTCATTCATTTCAGTTGTTGTTATCTAATGAAAAGAACAGGAAAATTAAAATCTCTTGAAACCTTCTTCTTACTTGCCGACATGAACTAATTAAACTATAATTTTGCTACAACATACAGCAAGTGAATTATTACTAATGCAATGATATCTTTCTCAAAAGATTGCACAGGTGCTGCTATGTCGATATGAAGTGATATATAAATACTATTCTCAATTTTAGGTTGCAGATTAAAACTAAGCAAAAAATACAAATTCCATCTGCAGATTTTATGTAAAATTATATCTTGATCATCTGAATCTCACATCTCCGGTGCAGGGAAGATGCATGGTTCCTGCATCATGGTTCAGGTCATAATTTCGAACAGCTTCTTTGATGATAGCCATATCTTTTTGTTCTTATTTCTAGTTTCCTCTGCACTAAGCATGATAAGCATTATTCTAACTCTGTTAGCATCTTTCCTAAGCATTTTGTGTCGTCACTACTGTATCAGAAAAGCTTTTTTGATCATGCATCGCTATGTGTTTTCACATCGTCTAAGTGCACTCTCTATGGAAAGTTTGTAGCCAATATGCTGAAACACCTTGTATATTCATTGGTGCCATCGTAGTGTGATTTGCAGACTTGAATGAAACATCGTGCAGACATGATGAAGACGTATCTTAGCTCTATGTAAAAGTTGATGGCTGTATTTATCAAGAATAGTAAACAAATAAGTAAACTATTGATTTAAATTTAAAATGAAATTAGCTTAACTACTTAACTCAAATTTATCTACTAGTTAAAAAAAATACATATGAACGATGAAAAAACACCGTGCAATGTTAATGAACGTGAGAATTCTTGGCTTGCAGTGTCCACAACACAGTACAAAGGGCAAAAGTTCAGGTGCCTTTGGTGACGTCAAATCACGTGACTGTGCAGCTGACTAGGCCGTCTAAATTTCCAGCGGTCACGGTAACCCCCTGTTCCCCATATTGAACCCAAGATGGAAATCTATGAAACAAGTTCTGGCTGTTAATGTGTTAGAAACCGTAAAGATTTTGCTGGTGGGTAGTCCAGTCACCCCTGAGGCATTGTGGGTTGTCTCAAGTGTAATGCATTAAGGAAGAACTTGTTAATTTCTAAGACAATTTTTTTAAAAAAAAGTCAATGTGTAAAACTGTTAAAACAATAAAAAGTCATTATTCATATCAAATTATGAATAATTGTCAGATATGTTTTGCGCATAAAAGATATAAAAAATAAATTCCTGTTATTTTCTGCTTAACATGAAAAACTACATTAAGCTTGACTGCAAATAAAATTATTTATATTTAAAAATAATTTAATGTAGTTTCTTTTGGAATAATTATTGCTATTTTTCTGAGAGAAATTTTTATTTTAAGTAATTATATTTTTCAATTTTAGTATATTAACTATGATTATTGAAGCTTCTGATATGTTTTTCTAAACTGATAATTTAAGCATATTGAAATAAATTATTAATTTTTGTGATGCGCTACTCTATGCTTTCTAAATTATGCTTTAGTGACTTATATCTTGATATTTTTGTCATGTTAAACTGAACTAAGATTTGGAATCATCTTTTTTTGTCTAATTTATCATAATTTTATATATATATTAAAAAAAACCCTACAAAGTGCTGTTATTTTATCAGAAATATTATGTACTGAAATTGGTTGTTTTTTAAGTTTCATTTAACATATTTTAAAATATTTAACAGTTCCCAGCCAAGTAATAGTGTCAAGAACATTGAGCAAGAAACAGATGTTGATGTCTGTTGCTACTAAAATAGCTATTCAGATAAACTGCAAGTTGGGTGGAGAACCATGGGCTGTTGAAATACCAGTAAGTATTTATTAAGTATAATAAATATTTGAATAACAAATGTTACTCCAGAATCATACATGGAATATTCTAACTAAACTAACTAGCATTCCTATATTATATGTACATCATATAGGAATAAAAAATCGTGAATCTTTGAATATCATAATTTGGGATGAATTTCATGTCTTTAGCATTGCTGTACATCAATATCCTGCACTTGCATATTTTCAGGTTATAAATTTTGATAGATTTTTTTGGTGATAAATAAAAACTTTTAAGTGTGGTCAGTGTTGTATAAATAATCAAAGCGTTAATTTTTTTCTTGTATTGCTAGTAAATGGAATTCCATTCATGCAGTTCGTTGTTTTAAAATGACGTGTTCTGCTTTATGTCTTTGACATGTGTTTATTACTTTTTGTCAAGGGAAAAATTGAAGGATTTTCCAGGGAAAATTAATTTTGAAAAGAGTAGATATGTGTAATAATAATTAAAAATGTATATAAAAATAGATCAAAAATTAAGTTGTAAATACTAAGTTATAACAGCAAGTAGAAAAATGAAGCAAACTGTCTAGCAGTAGGGGAAACTTTTGCGTTAAAGGCCTAAAGATGCTACAACATATGGTCTTCATGAACCTAATGCATATTAAAAGTATTCTGATACTATAAAAAGCCACACATAATCAACAGTACTTTTGTAGTAAGCACTGTAATTCAGGACATAGCCTGTGTTCAGGACAGTTAAATTTTTGTAGATTCACCAACAAAGTAACATGTGTTTATTTTTAGTGAGTGGGTAAGTGATGTATCGCTATTTCTAATTTTAAAAGTATTTTACAGTTAAGGAATTTTATTGTTTTTGTGAAGTGTTTTTAATGTATTTGAGTAAAATAAAGTAATAATTAAATTAAATATCTCTGCATTAGTAGTGCAGAATTTTTTAGTCTTATTAAATAAATTTTAAAAATTCACTAATTTTAAAGTTTTCATGTACTATAATAAACATATCAGACATATAAACATTAGACACATTTTTTTTTTTTTTTTTTTTTTTTCAAATACAGTACAAAGTCTGTAATCCGGACGTCCATAATTTGGAATGATCTATAATCTGGACCTCAAAGCTACAAACTTTATGCGCATGCACGTTTAATGTATATCGTATGGTATAAGCTAGGCTAAAATTATTTAAGGCATTTCAGTTAATGTTGCAGATTGCGTTGTTCCTTAATCTTCTAAATGGATCCGGCTTATTATTTTTTGCAGACTGTTAGAACAATTTTATAAAAATTAAGCTTGAACTTTTCGATTATGTCAAAAAGAGTTTCCAATTCTGGAGCTGCCAAAGGATTTACAAAGCAAAAGCATGTTTCGATGTGCATTAAACAAAATGTGGAATTGCTGCAAAAAATGGATAAAGGTCTATCCGTCTCAAAATTATATGAGAAGTATGACATCAGAAAGTCCACTATATATGACATAAGAAAAAGGAACTTTGAATTTTTTGTGGAAGTATCTTAAACAACTTACATTGAAAGAAATGTTTAATAAAGTAAACAAATAAATATTGAGCTTTTATTTGTAAATTTTGATACCCTTTAGATCATAATTGTTCTTTATTTCATAAATGACAAATTTGTATTTTTAAATGTATAATTTCTGCATGCCATCTTACCAAATTTAAAGTGATGATCTATAATCCGGAAAAACCCCTAGTCTGGAATCGCCGAAGTGCCGGCGAGGATTATGGGCTTTGTACTGTATTATGAATACAGCCTTCTCTGTTAAACTGGGAGACTTCTCATATATATCACATTTTCTCATATCCTGAAAATCTACTTATGTACTTTTTTAGTTTATCTAGATTTAGGTTATCTCTTTCAAATGCAGTTTTCAAAGAATTATTGAATGATTGTATTAAAAGGCTCCGAGAAAAATTTTGATGACAAATTCTGGGGAAAAAGGGCAATGATGTTTTTATGTTGTTATATCTTTGTGGAACTTAGATTGTGCAAACTGTTTTTTTCCAAACCGAATCCATTTTGGAAATCTGTTGGTCATTTTATTAAAGTCTACTGATGAAGTCCACAAATATTAGTAAGTATTTGTTATGTAGGTCTGCCACTGACCTTAAAAATAAGACGTATATGAATATGCTTCAAAGGAAGTTTACAAAATTAGCTGTTGCGAATATAAATATGCTAGAAAAAAAAATGGGAGGATCCACCATGATCAAAAAGCGAAACTTTCGTGAAAATTTTCAAAGAGATGTTGAACATGTTGGAGAAGTAGGGGAAAGCAGAGCTTTCTTTCATGAAAACAAGCATGGACAGAGAAGTTCATAACAACGATTTGTAGAGGGAAAGACTGTGTATCTTAAGTAATAATAGTGACATTCTACAGAGATGGAGCGAGCACCTGGATGAGTCTCTGAATTCCAACCTGTGTACATAGGATAATGAAATAAGTAGAAACTTAGGGCTATTTGATTCCCCATCTGGAAGAGGTGAATCATGTATAAAGAAATTAAAAACAATAAATCTCCTGTGTGAGAGAGTATTCCTTCAGATCTGTTAAAAGCTGCAAGACTGAATTCAACTTATTTGGGATTATGAGACACTCCAAACAGAATAAAATTTTAGTCACTAAAAGAGAGATGTGCTTGATTACACTAATTATAGAAGTCTTCTTTGTACATCTTTTAAAATTCTGTCAACTGTTCTTTCTAACAGAGTTTTTACCTTACATTGATAATACAATTTTCAAGTATCAGTGTGACTTTAGGAGGGAAACAAACTATTGAACAGTTTTTTTTCCAACATATTAAGAATTTAGGAGTGATATACTTTTTATCAATTTAGGAATTGCATATGAGTACATTAATAGGGAATTGACAAGGTGACCTAACAGAACAACTTGAGGTCAAGCATGGAGCGAGACAGCATTGGCATGCCTCTTATTTAAGGCTCGTTTCCACTACTGCGCGCGAACGCGTTGCGTGAGTTGAAGGCAAGCCTACGGCATCCGTACAAGCGTTTCCATTGCTGTGTATCCGTAGATTATTTTCATTTTCTGCCACTAGGTGCCACTGTAGTATTTTGGCGCCAAACAACCAGTTTGCCAGTTACAACGCTGAACATCTGAATTTTCCCCGTTTAAGCGAGTATTGTTTGTCTTGAATTTGATATGGATCCTAATGTAAAACGCAGAAAAGTTTTGTTTACTAAATTCCATGTTATTGGAAATTTTTATTTCTGCTTATGAACTGCAAAAGTAAAATATGCTAGCAATTTTTAGATAAGGTTATTATTAATATAAGGTTATAATGCATATTATGAACATCACTAATTGCATAGAAGCTGAGGTAAATTTAAAAAATTTCTTTCCGTTTATAGAAGCCTTAAATATAATTGAAATAATATATATTATTAAAACTAAAATGTACTGTTACTGAAAAAATAAACAAATAAATAAATAAAATAAAAAAGTTAAACGAATTAAAAAATAGTTGGTACTTTAAAAAATACAGAGCAACTGTAAAGAAAGGTTCACAATATTTATGCAAAATTTGTTATGCTTGTATACCGCTTTCAGGGTCATAGCTGGATAAATTTGTTAGAAATCTCGTTTGTTTTTAAAATCCACTATGGGCAGTTATATTTTATGTATAATCCATAAAAATATTATTTTTAATTCATATCTTTTTTTAGAGAAGAAGTTATAAAAATAAGCTTTTTCTCTCTATATATACACACATTAGGTAAAGAAAATGGAAATTAATTAATTCCTGTGTTTCTGCTGGAGAGGGCTGAATTTAAAAGCAATTAGTATAGTAATTTTTGTTTAAAAATGTTTAGGACATTAATACTGTCTGATGTTAATTGGTAATGAAAGTTTAGAGCAGTAAACATCCCAAAGTCTGAGCATATGTATGTACATTCACATAAAAGTGAAACGAAAATATATATATGTACAGGGTTTCAAAAGAATAAATAGTAAAGTTAAATTAAATTTAAATAATTCTCTTGTGCTATTGCTGCAATGAATGAAATTTGAATTTAACAAACATTTTCTATTCGTAAAAAGCAAATTTAAAGGTAATTAAATTTAAATGAAATTTAATGCAAACAAATCAATGATTAATTATTGCTGTGATATTATCTAGAATATCATTTAAATTCTGAGAGCATATGTAAATCAAGTTTGTCAAAATCCATGAATAAATATATAATTCCAAAAATTTATTTATCCTATTATTCACTTATGCATATAAAATTTTTTATGATTAATAAATTTTTGGAATTGTATATTTATTCATGGATTCTGATACTTGCATTTGATTTACATATGCTCTCAGAATTCAAATGATATTGTAGATTAGTTCGCAGCAGTAATTAATTATTTATTTGTTTGCATTAAATTTAATTAACTTTAAATTTGCTTTTTACAAATAGAGAATGCTTGTTAAATTCGTATTATATAATTTTCAAAATTTTTTGCGCGGAAAATTTAAATAAATAAGAGCATAAATAAAACATATTTTATGCTTATAATAATAGAAATAAATTATAAAACACAAGTATAGATCAAATTGGGGGGAAAAAAAGCTAAGAAAGTTGCAGACAGGGTGGAAAAAGCTTATGGGATTTGAACTCACGACCCCAAAAGTTAAGCTTTGTTAACGTTAGCTTTACCACTAAGCTAGCATCAGGCGGGAATGGTACGCATATTTTGTCTTATATACATCATCAAGTAAATCAATTCTTAAAACTAAATTTTTTGGTTCTATTTCAGTGTGCTATTGTCTAAAAAATTCACCAGAGTTTGCTCTTCAGCTTCTAGTACATTTTTTACAAAAAACATTATCTTTTAAAGTGGCGTTCCGATTGAAGTTAAACGGGTTGCTAAAAATGTATTTCATGTGCTTACAAATATATGTTAGCCAAAAAGATATATTTATAAATAGAGAAATACAAATTTAACATACTCTTTAATGCAGTGGAATATTTTAAAAGGCTATCAAATTTAATTTATAATTAACATTTTTAGTTTTTACCTGTTTCAAAATAAAAAAAAATTAATCTTTTAATGCTATAGCAGTTTGATATAGTCAGACATTCATTTTCATTAAAAGTAAATTTGTATGCAGAACTAGGAAATAATTGCAGGACAAATTTTGCTATTTCATGGACTTGAAATTATAATTTTTACCGCTGATTTTTTCTTGAACTGAATTTCTTGAACGCCTGATTTTATCTACAAACAAGTACTGTTATCTTATTTTTCTTATCTTTTTTTAACTAAATTCAGCTGATTGCTGACTTTTTTAGCATGCAGATTTCTCGCTGTAGTGTTAATTCAGAAATAAGTATTTTTTAGCAAAACATTCTTTCCCTAAGTGAGCGTTCATCGCTACTTCTGCCGCCATTAATTTTTGGTGACTACACCTGATTGTTCCTTTTTTACCATGTACCCCCAACACATCCGCATACATATTGATAGAAGTTGAACTCCATCCGTACATCATCCGTCATCGCACATCGACTAGATTGCAGATGTCAATCAAAGTGAATTCGCTCGCTGATTGGAGAAACGCATATGCAGCAGTGGAAACGGGCCATAATATTGCATTCAAAAAAATTGGTCTAGGGTCAGTGCTGGAGGGATTCTAAAGATCAAAAACTGGAAAACACTTGTCAAAAGTAGGGATTTCTGAAGAAGGCCAGAGCCCATGTTGGGCTGTCGAGCCAAAGAAGGAAATATTTGTATTTATTACTATCATTTTATGGGTTACTATTTAATTAAATTCATTTACTTCTGTTGCAAAAAATTGGCGACACAAATCTGATATCAACTCAAGCACAAAATTCTGGACCGGATCATCAGTTGTGATGAAAAGTGGATTTACTTCAACAAGACAGGCCAAAAGGGATTGTTGGTGTGCGCCCGGTGAGCCCATCCAGAGTGTCATAAAATGCAATTTGACCAACAAAAATATCATGCTTTTTACTTGTTGGGATTGCCATTGTATTATCCACAAAGAGCATCTGGAAAAATGTAGAGACTAACACCTCACCTCGATGGTGAGATGTACAGTGAGATGCTAGTCCGTGTTGATGCTGCCATCAAGGAAAAACGTTGAACCAACGTTTTAATAAGATAACAGTACTTGAACGCAAGTTCCGGCGCAAAAAGATAATTTTCCATCAAGATAATGTTAGACCACATGTGTCTGCATTCACCAGCTGGACTCTGTACAAATTCAAATGGGATCTTTTACAACACTCACCATATAGACCCAACATTGCTCCTTCTTATTTCAGACCTTTTTTCATACCTGCAGCTACATCTTGCTGGTGCTATCTTCCATTCTGCATATGACATCTGAAATGAGGTTGATAAGGCTGAATCAGGTCTGCTTTTGGACTCAAGGCCAACAAGTTTCTTCGTTGAATCCTTTGAAAAACTACCAAAACGTTGATTACTACCCACACTAAAGGTATTGCTTTTATGTTTTTTCCCCTTGAGAAAATTTTTTGGCAGAAAGCTTTCATTACAACCTGATATTTCAATTAGCTCGGTATGTATATATCTAATTATTTGGGTAATCTGCAAACTTTCATAAACCTTTGTTATCTTCAAATGATTAAGGTTTATGAATAAAATGTACCTTGATAAATCATACTGAGTGGAAATCTATATTTAACATCGTATCTTTATTATATTTAAAATAGTATTTTTCTGAACTGAAAGCAATGATAATTTTGTGTGTAAGAGTAAAGGCTAATAGCTGGAACTCTGTTAAAGCATGAATCGGCTGATGTTGTGTATTTCGATAGTAATATATTTTTTCCCCCTTAGTTTAAATTGAAGGTAATGATTATTGGGTATGATACCTATCATGATTCCTCAAGGAAAGGACGTTCAGCTGGAGCATTTGTTGCAAGTATGAATCAGCTAATGACTCGTTGGTTCTCAAAGGTCTCATTCCACTCTGCTGGTGGATGGGAAGAGTTGTCAAATCATTTGAGAGTGAACTTAACTGGTGAGTGCTTAGATGAATAATTTGTTGATGATACATTACAACCAGAATCATTATTCTTCATTTTTTATATTTATGATTTCATTCAAGATTCATTATTTTGTTTATTGTAAAGTTGTAAAAGAATGAAACTAAATAGTTTGACATAGTGTATTTAAATTTCCTTAAAATGCAGAGGCATTCATCTGCTGAATTCCAGCTCTGCATTTTAGCTTAATGAAAAATATTCTAAGAAACGTTAAAAAAAAAAAAAGTGTAATTATTTTAAATTTAACTGCATAGTTAGTTTTGTTAATAAGATAATCTGCTGGTGGTTAAAATAGTTGGTGCATAATGATAGCTGCAATAAAAGAATTCGTTATTTTTCCTCTTAAAATAAGTTCTCGTGTCCAGTAAAAATATAAATGATACAAATTCTTTTGGACAGGGGAAACAGCTGCAAAATTTATTATTATTAAATAATATTTTTTATTTAACTCACCTCATCTAACTGAAAGTACTGTTATATATGTACAGGTTCGTAATTGATTGAATGCATGCAGACCTGATAGCCTAAAATTTATTGTCAGAAAAAAAGAATACAGTTCTGGAACTCCTTACAAAAGTACTCGTATTGCTCTTCTCATTATGGCAAAGCACATTCAGTAGTTACCATTTTAAACTGCTAACAGAACACAATGCAAGATCTGCTGCTGTCTCCAGTCTTACACAGTTTTCCTCTGTTCAGTGAGAAATTACCTGTATCTTCCATTTCTCAAAATTACTGAAAGACATATATGTTTACAGTTGTGTAAGAGGAACAGTTACATAGGCATTTTGGCCAGTTACCATTATATAGGGACTGGACCAAATTCTCACCAATTTTTGAAATCTTGCCAAATTTGGCAACCAAAAATTAGCTGCCCAAATCATCGCCAGTTTGATAATATGTCGCCAATTTAACAAGACAGCCATTTACTTCAATGCTAATGTCCCTGTAATCTTATTTTTCCCGTGGTGCTTCACTTTTTTTAAGGCATTTCTTGTTACATTATATAAATTTCATAACATTGTATTTGGTTTTGATTAAAAACCTATGACCTAAAACTTTTTGATTAGCATTTTCTAAATTCAGTTTAATTGTTTAGTGGTGAGAAACATTATTGTATTTTTGGTTATGCAGTTTTCATCTACAAAAGCTTTACTTATTACTCAGCTTTCTTTCAAAACTTAGTTTTACTGGAGAGGTCATTTTTAAAATACATTTTTGTGCTGGAGTTTTTTGGCTACATCATATTTCTTTACAGAAAACTTGTGTATAATTCAAACTTTTTGTGTTTTAATTTGTGTGCTAGCAAACGTATTGCAAGTTTTAGATATTTAAATTGTGTTTTATTACTCATCTGAACATTATTTGTGCGGTCCAGTGGATTTTTAACTTATTTTATTAATACGGTACAAAGTCCGAGATCTGGACCTCAAAGCCATCAACAAACTTTTTTTAAAAAAAGGAATTTTCTTGGGTGCTGTGCGCTTGCGCATTTCACCCCCCCCCCAAATAATAAAACATATGGAGGGCATAGACTTCATCTACTATGAATACTTCGTATAATTTCTACGAAAATTCTTAATAACTGTGAGCTGCAGAAAATACCGCAAAAACTACATATTTTACTGAAAGGGGCAAGGCAAACAATATGAAATTACCGAACCGATTTATTTCTCTAAAGATTAGCACAATGCTTGTGACATCATGTTTCGCATGTTAAGTAAATAGTATTGCTGATATTTGAAGAGTTATTAAATCTTATTTCTGCAAATTCCAACTTTTGTCTGTCCAATAAGGCATCCTTCCTGGGGGGTTGACTCAGGCGAACACCTGGTAATTACTCGGTTAAGATTTGTACCTAGGCAGTCTCAACCACCGGGGTTGGGTATATAATTTGATTTTACGGTACTGGAACCCAAGTATTGTACTCAGGTTGATTCAGGCTTGGCAGGGACAGTACTGGTAATGTCGTGTCTGTTCCTTCGGCTGTGGTGGAGCTAGATTGGAGATCGTCAACCAAGTCCCCGGGGGTTTAACCTCATTCCATTCTCGTGATGGGGACTGACAGAGTGGTCAGAGCGCACTTTACGACGTACGTTTAGCCGACGGAGTGGTGCCCGGAGGCAAACTGATTAAGTTCAATTGATAACTACGATTTGTTCTGCCCCAATGCTTTGTATAAAGCCGGGCAGGAGTCGCGCCCACGAGGATGAGGTCCCCTGGACCATAGATAAATTCCGTATGGGTCCACAAGTTGGACCTGGGCCCGGGGATCTATGTTTGTCTGTTGCATCTGTCCAATAAGGCAGGTGCAATGGAGGGCTTGTAAGGCCCTGTTTAATTATATTAAGATATATTATGAAATAGTGGAATATTAAGATGAGAAAACACATTTTCTAGTGAGTTGTGATTATAAACTGAATGTTTTTTGAGTTCATAAATTATGTCTCAGAGAATAAGAAGTTCAAATTATCAAGGCAAAAATTTAAATTGTTTCATTAATACTTGTGTTCTGTAGAATTGTCACGTATTAAAGCTTTTAAAGTTTTTGCAAATCGTGCATTGCATTAGTAGCAGACATTTTAGTTGCGCATGGCATCAAAAGTGACTGTAAATGGCATGCATTTCCTCATCCTCATAAAGAAAAATTAGTGCTACAAAATCAAAAGAAATATCAAGTTTCTTCTTAAAAGACTATAAAAATTATGTTATAAAAGCCAAATGATATATAATTTGTAATAGTATTGCTTTGGGAATTGTGTATATACGTGTGCGTGTCATATTTAATTGGCTAATTTTTGTGTTTTCAAGTGATACCATAATTTATTTACCCTCAGCACACAGCCAACATGCACTACACAGATAGTTTAAAATTTTCTTGAAACGTACCTGGAAAAATCTGAGAATTTTATTCTCCTCTTTTAGTGTCATCCCTGCTATTATAATAGCAATTTTATGAAAACTAAAGTTTGAACTTTGACAATATCAAAAAGATTTTTTAATTCTGGAGCTGCAACAGGATCTGCAAAGCGAAAGCATGTTTCAATGCCCGTTAAAAAAAAAAGTGGAATTACTGCAAAAATGAATGCCATCTCAAAATTTTGTGAGTAATATGGCATTGGAAAGTTAACTCTACACGACATAAACAGAAGAAGGATCTTTTTGAATTTTTTGTGAATTTCGACAACCTACTCACAATAAATAACAGAAAAATTATTCATTATGCTAAAAGTGATGATTGAACAGGTCAAACAGCGTTGCAGTGAGGACGTGCCATCGACGCGTCCAAGCCAAAATATTTCATGAAGAAATGAACTTGAAAACTGAGTGCACATAATCGACAAATTGGTTAAACCAAATTAAAAGATCTCCGTGATTTAAGGAAAGTAAAAATTTCAGGTGAAAAACTTTCAGCTACTGAATTATTTGCAGATGAATTCATTGAACACATTAGTTGTGAAAAGTTATCTTCAGAACAGATTCACAGTGCTGATGAAATTCACAGCACTGTGAACGCTGCTGATGAATTCGCAGTGGCGGTGAAAAAATTGGCGACACAAATCTGATATCAACTGGAGCACAAAATTCTGGACCCGATCGTCACTTTACAATATTGCTTTTATCTTATCCCTTTCACAATATAGCTTTTCTGGCAATATGTACTGCAAAATACCTTGGCAACTTCTAAAGGAAAGGCTCCAACTCGTGTCGAAAAATCCAAAGTGATATTAACAATTTTAGCATGCGCAAAATGGGTATGCACAAGTGTAATCAGAAAAAAATACATAGCTTTGAGCATTTAAATGAGCAAAGATTATGCATCCATATTATTCATTCCTCCAAATACAGGGTAAGTCAAAAGTAATATAGTGGTTACAAACAGCTATAAATATTTAATAGAAAAGAGTTTATTGATAAGAGTAACACAGAATGTAGACGGTATTACAAAATTTCTTTACATAAGGCGCAGGTGCAGTGAAGCGGAAGCATAAGCATGCAAGTTGAAACTTTGCATTGACAAGAAACCTGTTCATTGCTCGCGTTTCATTCGTAAAAATGGCGATTCCCGTGCAAAAAGCATTCTGTGTGTTAGAATTTTAAAATGTCATTCTGTTATAACAGTGGAGAGAAGATTTCATCATCGTTGCAAGCAAGAACCTCCAAATGTGAACAACATATGCAGATGGCATCACATGTTTAAAGAAATAGGATGTCTGTGCAAAGGGGAAAGTAGCGGAAGGCCACATGTTTCAGCAGATAACGTAGAAAGAATTTTCCGCACGTGTGAATGAAGCCCATTGAAATCGACGTACAAACGCAGTAGGGAGTTTACAAATGTTACAAAAAACAGTGTAGCGTGTTCTCGGAAAGAGGCTGCAAATAAAACCGTACATCATTCATCATGTGCAGCAATTGAAAGAGGAAGACTTTGGCAAACGTACGATTTACGCTACTTTTATGCTGGAAAGCATGGCAATGGCTGGTCTCATTTTTAGCAATGAATCAACTTTCCACATGAGTGGGAAGGTTAACCGGTACAATAGTCGAATATGGAGTAGCCTTCCACTGTAATTAAACATCAATGGGACTCGGCGAAAGTTAATGTGTTCTGTGCAATTTCATTACGTAAATTCTATGGTGTGACATCAAATACTTACCTAGACGTTCTTGAGGTATGATTACTGCCACAGCTAGACTCTTGACTCCATGGATTACATCTTTCAGCAAGATAAAGCACCCCCACGCTGAAGTACGGAGGTTCGCACATTTTTAACCTTTTAACTGTAGTACCCGAAACAATCTCAGGCACAGCACTGGTATTCCAAAATGTCACGCCCGAATACTACTTGGGCTTGCTTTTTTTTTTTTTTTTTTTTCCCTGAGTGCATTGTATTGTTATACCGGAATATATATCGTGATAAGTTTATTCCGCCTTCAATTCAACAGATGGCAGCTCTTTACTGAAGGTTTCAAAGGATAAAAGTTAAAGTGCTCGGTTTTTTTTTTTTTTTTTTTGTGTTGTGTGTGTGTGTGTGTGTGTGTAAAGTATTGCAAGGCAAACATTACATTTTTTTGGAATAAAAAAAATTTATGATTTATGCACTTAAATCATCAAAATAACTTGACAGTTAAAAGGTTAAATCAACATCTTCCAAAGCGTTGGATCGATCAAAGTGAAGCTGCTGACGATGTCTTCTACTCTTGGCCACTGAGGTCTCCAAACTTGACGCCTTGCGATTTCCCCCCCCCCTGTAGAAGACAATGTGTTTGTGCCTCCAATGCCCAAAGTAAGCATTTGTAATGCGCTTGCGTTAGTAACTGAACAAATGCTTCAGAATGTCTGGTGTGAAATGGATTATCGCCTAGATGTTCTTCGTGTGACCAAGGGAAGTCACATAGAACGTCTATGACGTATGTATACAAAATTTTGAAGTTCTCTCTACATTATGTTCGTTTCAATAAATAATTCGTTTCCAATAAATAGTTATTGCCGTTTGCAATTGCTATATTCATTTTGACTTACCCTGTAGTATAGCCATCATTCAGCCAATGCATATACGAAGTGCTCGTGTTGAGATGCAAAGTACGTAGCGTATTGGGAAACTAAGTACCGTTTCATTCTAGCGCTGTGGTAGGCGTCTCGGGCAGGCTCACTAGTCTTTCTTGTTCACTGACTTTCAATTGTCTCCATTTTGGTTGCTCTATGTTGTGTTTTCAGTTTGCTGTGCACATTCAAAATGTTTAAGACAATTAGTTCTCCTACTGACTGTAAGATTCGTGCAGTGATTAAATTTTTGAATGCGAGGAATGTTAAACCGGCCGAAATTTATCGTCAAGTGACAGAAGTTTACGGTGAATACGCGATAAGTGATGGAATGGTGAGAAAGTGGGTAAGAATGTTTAATGCAGGTCGAACAAATGTCCACGCCGAGGCTCGGAGTGGTCGGCCTTCTGTTGTCACCGATGATTTGGTAAGGAAAGTTGATGAAGCAATTCATGAGAACAGACGCTTCACAATGACAACTCTTTCAGAGGCATTTCCACAAATTTCACGTACTGTTTTGTTCGAAATTGTGTCTGACCGCTTGAATTATCGCAAACTGTGTTCCCGATGGGTTCCAAAAATGCTCACTGATGTTCACAAAACAAAGCGACTTGGTAGTGCCCTGACATTTCTCACGCGGTACAGTGATGAGGGAGAAAACTTTTTAAACCAAATTGTGACAGGTGATGAAACTTGGGTGTGTCATTTCACACCAGAATCGAAACAACAATCGATGGAGTGGAGACACACTCATTCTCCGAAAAAACAAAATTTCAAAGTGACAATGTCATCACAAAAAATCATGTGCACTGTCTTCTGGGATAGGAAAGGCGTTTTGCTTACTGAATTTCTTCCCAGAGGTGAAACCATTAATGCGGCACGATATTGTGAGACTTTAACAAAACTAAGGCGTGCCATTCAAAACAAACGAAGAGGAATGCTCAGTAAAGGAATTGTGTTGCTCCATGACAATGCTCGGCCCCATACTGCTGGTGTCACTCAATCGTTAATTCGACAGTTTCATTGGGAGCAGTTCGATCCCCCGCCGTACAGCCCGGACTTGGCGCCGTCCGACTATCACTTGTTCCTGCACATGAAGCGCGAGCTTGGTGGCAAGCGCTTTGGATCTGACGATGACACGAAAAATGCTGTGGAGTCGTGGTTATCGAAACTGGCGGGAAGTTTCTTTGACGATGGTATACAAAAACTGGTCACCCGCTATGACAAGTGTTTGATCATTGGCGGAAACTATGTTGAAAAATAGTTTAAGACATGTATTTTCATGTAAAAATAAAATTGGATTCGAAAAAATTGTTTTACTTTTTTTTTTTTTTTTTTTTTTTTTTTTTTTTTTTTTTTTTTTTTTCTTTTTCCAAAACAGTAATTAGTTTCCAAATACGCCTCGTAGCATTTTAAAAATCTATCTTAAATTTCTTTTATAATGGCAAGACTGTTCAATAATTTTTGAAATATTTTGGCATAAAATATGCTGTGTGGGAGAATTGCAATCATTGGAGGATGTGTCTCCAGATAATTTTAAAAATGCTTAGAATAATTCATGGCCAGCTACCATATTTCATGGTGAGGATGATGAAAATGATAGCCGGGAATTTTAAGATTCTCGGATATTGCAAACTAAGGTGAAATTTTCCATTTAATGGATTTTGTAAAATGTGGAGAAGATATTACAGAAGTTTTTCATTGCGAAGACAATGCCCCAATCATTAATCAATTAACGTGAGGCAAAATTTGTAGTATGGTTCTAGATCCAGAAAATACCACTACCGACAGTGAAGAAAGTAACAGAGAGCTTATTGAGAACAAAAAAAAATTTCAATTGAAGTTAGAATTATCGACGCAGCAATTACAGGACTTGACCGATGGAACTTTGTAACTGAACAAGAAATTATGTATGTTTAGAGAATTAAAGAGAAAGTGTTAACACAAAAAACGAAGCAATTTAAAACAACTTACATTGAAAGAAAGGTTTATTAAAGTAAACAAATATTAAGTTTTTTTGTAAATTGTAATACCCTTTAGATCAGGGTTTCTTAAACTGTGGGTCACGACCCACAAGGGGGTCTCGGGACCCGCAGCAGGGGGTTGCTAAAAATTTTAGCAGTTTTGATATTTCTTTAACTTATTATAATAATTTTACAATTACCAAATATTTTAACATGGTCTGAAATAAAATAAAGATAATAGACAAAGAAAAAAAAATTTTCGACGCATTTTTATAATAACATTATTTTCTTGCTTTGCACATGACACTGTCATTTCGTCTGTTAGTTATTTAAAATTTTCACATTGTTCTATGTCTTAAAGTTAATGACTGAAAACTGCAATGGTATATTATTACAGTACAAGTGGGAAAATTGACAGTTTCACTCACGTGTGTGTTGGATTTGCACAACACTTATATGGTCCCACAAAATTTTTGTAAATATTATGGAATCCTAAGGGTCAGGAAAAAATTGCTTGGTGATAAAAAGGAATCATGACTGAAAAAAGTTGAAGAAACCCTGCTTTAGATTATAAGTGCCTTATTGTTTCATAAGTCATGATTTCATATTTTTAATTTTATAATTTCTATATGCCATATTACTAGATTTAAACTGATGATCTGGGGAATATCCCAAATCCGGAACTGCTGAAGTCACAATAAGTCCGAATCTCGGAATTTGTACTGTATTGATTTGTTACTGAAGTGACATATTTAGTTAAAAACTACTACTTTATATTTTCATGGAATTAATGTATATTTTGAATTTAGAGATTTATTTGACGTGTGTATTTAATGTGATACTTACCCAAGGAATTTCTTGTAGAGGCATTAAGGAAATACAAGGAGCACAATGGTTGTGTTCCTGATCGCATCATTTTCTACAGAGATGGCGTAGGGGACGGTCAGATTCGTTATGTAAAGGAATGGGAAATAAAACAGTTCGTTAGTGTTATTAACGACATGCTGGGTGACAAAGGGTATGTCGTGTTTTTGTACTGTATTAAATATATATTGAAAGAGATTGATTGAATTTATGATTTCATGTATTATATAGTTTTAAAACTGGAGTCTAAAGGTTTGATGAAAATTTTTTCAGAACACGTTATGCCTTTATTATCGTGAACAAGAAGGTAAATGCTCGCTTCTTTCACAAAACTCAAAGTGGGTACTTAAATCCACCACCAGGGACCTTGATTGACAATACTGTCACACGCTATGATCGGTAAGTATTTAACATCCTCTGATGATTAACGCATAACTAGAGATTGTACAGATATTTTATGTTAAAAATGTGCAAAAATTTAATGTAATAATCTTCATGATGTTATTTTTGTGCTATATAAAAAGTTATTTTAGATGAATGAAAAAACAAATGCCTAGCATGCTTTATTGTAATATGTAACTACAGAGCCATTGCTGATATTCTAGTTGTAAGAGTTTCTAGTAATTTAAAATTAAAGGATAACCATCATCTATATATTTAATGCCTCAGATTAGAAACCATTGAATGAGAAAGTTGTCAAAATACTATTTTAATTTTTTGGGGGATCCGAGAAAGTGGGTACCTTAAGCTACAGCTTGTGTAGCTTATACGTAAATCCTGTGCTGCCTGCTTTAGGAGAAAAATGAAATGGGCAGTTGCATAGAATAATGTAAATAAAGTTTTTGTTTAGTTGAGATATGATTTTTAATGAGTAAATTGTCTACAAAATTGATAATACCAAAACTGATAACCCTAACATAATTTTGTTGTCATTAGAAAGAAGTGATTCTCAATACTAATGTTTATTAATGTTATCAGAAATATTAGTTATCACAGAATAATCACAGCTTGAGGATTGAATTCATTGCATTCTAAAGAATATGGAAAAGAAATAATACTGATAGCTAACTCATTTGATATGAGTTTTGTGACAGTAATAAGCGTGGATGAAGTAACAAAATATATTATTTCCATTTATAGTGTAAAGCATACATACATACCTCCCTCCCCCCGAAAAAAAACTTCCTCTGAATCTCTGAAATTCTGATCAAGATGATTCCATAGCGTAGCTGCCAGCTCTCCTAGATTTTCTTCGTATCTCCTGGTAAATTGCTCAATCCCCTAGTTTTTAATTTTTAGCCTATACTTAATTGCTTGCAAGCAATAAATTACATTTAGTTATTTAATGAAACTTACAAGGCAAATAGCATACCTGCACCTCTAGTGATTTTCAGAAAAATTTTACCTATTAAATTTTATTTCATCTGAAATGTACTTTTTGCTGATCTACTTGTCTATTGTAGACATGTCGAGTTTTATAAGAAGATTCAAGCAATGTTTCATCAGTTATTTTTTTGTATTAATTTTATTTTACCTCTATATATGGTAAATATTCTTTCAAATACTACGTACATTAATGAATAATGTACTTTTTTTGATTTTCTCAAGTATAAAACTAAATAAAGAACACAAATATATATTGAAAAATATTAATTAAAATACCCAGTTAAATGCTAATATATATTAATCAGAATTTTTTACAAATAGTGTAACTTGAATTGTATGTTAAAGTCAGTTTTGAGTTAATTTGAATTAGTGTCACTGCTCAGCATGAAAACAGTCTGGTTTTCTCTCAAGTCTTTTTCCCATGTAATTGTCTTAGAATATTCAAAATTCTCAGAAAATGTATCAATTTTCTCTATAAAATTAATTTTACCCTTTTTTCCCTCTTTTTTTCCAAAATATTTGTCTTTTTGCTGTTACAGAATTGGTAGGGATATTGTTTCTTGAGCATTTTAGACATTGCAGCTTAACTAGAGATTGTACGGATTAGAAGTTTAGAAGGATTTGAAGGCAAGATTTATAGACCCATGATTCTCGAAGATTCGAGAAATATGTGACAAAATAAAAAATATCTCCATGGTATCAACATGTAATGGATGTGTTTTACAGAAAGTTTGCGATAAATTTCTTACTTTTTGGAGAGCGCCTGAAAGAACATTGAAAACATAATATTTGAATGTTTTACTCCTGATACTAGAATCTTTTTCTTAACATGTTTATCTTCCCTTTATTTTCTCTACTTTTCACTAAACACAAGCATGGAAAATATCAAAAATGCCTCTAATCTTATCACTTGGGCAGACATTATAGAAAGGGATTTTTTTATTAATAGAGAAATTGAAAACTTACAATTTGAAAGATTCATCTAATATATCTTAATGCATCGTACACAGAGTGGGCACTAGGGATTTTCCCCACCTGATTGCAATCTGTGTGGATCCTAAATTCTGCTGACTGGATTCTTTTTAAATTCTGCTTCCAAATGCCGTAAAAAAAAGTTGTGTTTACTATGAGTTTCATATGAAGTTCTGTACCTACCAGATTTCTCAATATTACAAACCACAAATTTGTTTCATCTATTGTTAGGCATTTTAACTTTTTGATATTTAAAGTTTGTAAATCGAAATATTGAAACTCATTCAATACAGTGTGAAGTTCTGATTTTATGAATGGCAAATGTCTGGATATTAAATATAACAGTATAAGAAAGTGGAAAATAAGTCCTAATATTGTGTGCACTGTATTCATTCATATTTGAAATCAGGCACCGATTTCATTCATGTTTGTTTCCTTAACTGTCAACTGTACAGAAAGTTGTACATGTATTTTTCTTTGGAGCTGTTTCCTATTTCATAATTATTAATTTGTATTAACATGCAATATAATTATGTGATTATCATTAGTAAAATTTTTATATGTTTGTAGGTATGATTTTTATCTCGTATCCCAAAGTGTTAGACAAGGAACCGTAGCTCCAACTATGTACAATGTTATAGAAGACAACAGTGGTCTAAAGCCTGAACATCTTCAAAGGCTTTCTTACAAATTAACTCATTTGTACTATAACTGGCCAGTAAGTTTTTATACATATATATTTGCATTGAATTACTGCTGTTCAGATGTATAATTATGTGTCTGGAATGATTTAGATGTTCATTTATTATATCGCTATGTTATATAATGTATGTATATTAAATGTTGGTTTGTGTTTTTATTTATTAACTAAAAGTATTCATAAGTGTGCATCTGGTGAAGGAATGAATGAATAGTGAGATACTTTATATATGAAACAAAGACTTGTCTGTTAATCAGTCTTTCTAGAAAGAGAAATTAAGGGCATATGGAGAGAATGATGTAGCAGGCGTGTAAATGTATGAATTGATTTGTGGATGTCTTAATTCTGATTCTTGTTATGAGATTTTAAATTGTATATAAGAAAATTTTAACCTTAAAAGCAATTGCATTCATATTTGGAAATTTTTTAATTTCTGTCATTTTTTGCCATAACTATTGCAAATAGCAATAGCGGCTTTTTATTTATTTATTTTTATTCTATCTTTATTATTATTTAATTTTGCCTGTTGTAGTGATGCAGCTCACTTTATTTTTAAATTATTTAGGTGATTTATTTTTAATACTAATGAACTGAAAAAAATTTGTTAGATTTTTAAATAGGTCATAATTGTAACCAGTTGCATTGAGCAGAATGTAATGTATACTACTCAGATTTTTAAATACGTCATAATTGTAACACAGTTGCATTGAGCAGAATGTAATGTATACTACTCAGATTGTTGTTGTTGACTAAAGCTCACTTGCTTTGACCTATAGTCAGTCCAAGCCCTCGAAATTCCTCATGTTAAGGTGCACAAGATACACCTGTCGACTCAGGCGAGCGCAGTTCGCGAAGCGGGCTCTCGCTCGTTTTAGCGTAATCCCAGGATATTCTGTAGACTATTTTCTAGCGAGAATGTACCATAACATACAAGAGTCTATGTCGTGAGAAGTTATAGCAATTATAGCGAGTAAAAATTCTCAGGTTGTGAGATAAATTCCATAAAATAGGTCTGTGACCAAAAAAACTGCTTCTGCAGTCTGTGCTGCCACTCATTGGGGCGAAGCGTATACAGAGTGGCTGGAAGAAAGCAGCAGGGTAAAGAGCGAAGAATTACCTGGCCAAAGAAAAGTGTTGGAGGGAGTAAGCTTAAGTGAGCCAAAATAATTCTTAAACAAGGTTAAGATGGTAATTAAAGTTCATAATTATTTTACACTTTTTTTAGTTACTCTCCACAGACCATAATTTAGTTATTATTATTTAAACTATTAACTTCCTCCATTGTGAAGAATAATAAATTAGTTTTCTCCCTTATGTCCTTCACATTTTTCATTGATGAGAGATTGTTTTAAAATATTTGGGTAACATTCCGAAGTTCAGTGCCAAAAGCATTATGGAATTCAGTAAGGATTTTGATAAATTCTAATATCTGTGCGAAACTGCAGTTGTTCGTGATAGACATAACACTAAAAGCAGCATTTTTGCCATTGGTAGGAATATTATTATGGGCTGTGGAGGCAACGAGATAACTAGGGTTGGAACTGGAATTCGCAGCAGCAGGGTCAGGAGTAAATTTATTCAGAGACGAGCTTTGCAGCCTGGGCATAACTAACTCCTGTTTTCGCATTTGTAGGTTTTCTTATTTTTCTGTTAGAGGGGAATTTCTTACAACCCCTGTATGATGCGGGGTGGCTTTCTTTGCCACAGTTTGCACATTTGTAACTTCAAGTTTAGTTTTATCACAATCCTTAATTGTTTTGAAAACCCGTACACTTCACACACCTGGGGGCTACATGACAATTTTCGCTGAAATGGTGCCATTTCTGACAATTAAAAAACTGAGGAATTTGAAACTTGGAGGCATATTTTTCAACTTATATCATAGTAGCATAAGTCGGTAAGTAAATAGATATCAGAAATTTCATTCTTAAAGATTTGGGCCTGAAACAGAGGCATGGGTGCTCTGGACTTAAATTTCGTCAGTTGAACAACTTTGTGAACTTTATAACCTCTTGGTTTGAGTTCGCATTTAACTTCATCTACATCTGAATCTGTGGGCAGTCCTCTTAATAAGACTTTAATGGGTCGCTCTCGTTTAAGATTAACAACAAAGTAATCAATATTATTGTCTAGAAAATATCTACCAAGTACTCTGTGATCAGTATCAGTGGTAAAACGCGCACAAATTCTCCATTTAGTCGACATAAGACTATTGTTTCAGGCAGCTTGGCTGCAAGATATTTTCTGAATTCAGAAAATTTTACGTTTTCCGGAGGCCTAACCATTATGCGAGGGGTAGCAGGCTGTGCTGTAGTAATAACCTGCTGCTGCGAGTTACTAACTATATCAGGAGCATCTGCATTTTGCGGAGCATTAACATTATTTACATTGCTTAAATTAACATTGTTATTATCATTTACGGTATATATATCACTAGTAGTATTAAAATTAGAATTAAGACAATTGGCAATAGTAACAGCAGAGGTCAAAGCATCAAATCTATTTCACATATAAGTTTTAGGTTTAGATTTAAGAGGTGTAACCATTTTAGCGGGCCTTGCTCATTATCAGAAATATCACTAATAATTCCCTTACATTTACTATTAACTACTTGGTTACCTAGAACCACGTGCTTCTTGGTTAGGCTTAAAGCCCACCGCAAGTGCACTTTCTTTACAATCAACAATATTTACCTTATTTTTAACATTAGAGGCCAGGTAGATATTGCCCTTCCCTTCGAGTATTCCAAGCTTTGAAGCTTTGTTTTCACCATTTGTAATTCTTGTATGAAAGGGTCAGTGTAGATATCAGGATCCATAGCCGCTCGTTTAGCACCAAGTTCTTGGTAGGTTTCTTTTAGTACCATATAATGATTTTTAAGATTACTAATCTGTTGGTTGCATAGTTCCAAGTAAGGTCAGTGTAGATATCAGGATCCGTAACCGCTCATTTAGCACCAAGTCCTTGGTAGGTTTCTTTAAGTACTGTATAATGATTTTTAAAATCACTAATCTGTTGGTTGCATAGTTCCAAGTCAAAGTCCTTAAATTCATCAGTTGAATCCCAATTATTCAGAATTTTGTCACGAAGTCCATTATCCATATTCATGCTAAAGTCCGAAGTATCCAAAATCGCTAGGTAACGGCGGAGGTTTGTCAGCATCCACTGCCGCACGCAAGTGCTCCATACACCAAGATACACCTGTTTTAAACAACAGCCTTGAGCACCTTAAAGGTGACAATATGTTTTAGCTCAGTTCCGTCCCAAATTTTGATGGAGAGCACTACAGGGGGAGATGTCAAGGGTCTCCCATCTCTCTTCCCATACCACCAACCTCTCAAGAGGACTTCCGATTCATCGTATGTTTAGAGTGCCCCCATGCTGAATGGACACTATACATGTACAAGCATCCATGCCTTCTCTGGGATTTAAACCTGGGCTCTTTGGCATGTCAGTCAGTGACGCTAACCACTATACTGTTTGGGTAGCTATACTGCTCAGATGATGACCCCTTATGTATAAGTTTACAATAGTACGATGAGTTACTATTATAATAAACATCAGATATATATGAACCAACATGGAGAACAGACTTTTATTTTCGCACATTATATTTAAATTCTAGTATGCCTTTTAAATATTTTAAGAGCAAAATTAAAAAAATATGAAATATTCTGGTCATAGCAAAATTTCCATTTCCAAGCCTTTTTGAATATAAACAAAAAATATCTTTGAAGTAATGGGATGGATTTATTATATGTATTCGTCTCGAAAAATATTGCATTAATGAATTAAATATGCCTTTGTGTTGTAAAAGTTTTTGAAATAATTTTGTTCATGCAAAATGCATTGTCAGATTTCAGTCTAAACCAAGTGTTCTTGCTGCAGCATGTTTTTCTGTAAAGTATCTTCTACAGCTTTGGTGGCATAATGTTAAAAAATTTAAAGCAAAATTGTTGCAAGTATATGCAGTAGACATTTGCGCGTAGTGGTATTCTGGTGTATAATATGCACATATAATTTCAAACTATATTTTATAGTTTTTAGGTATATTGATCAATCATATTGTTGCGCTTTTCTTTTCTGCTTCTGACACCAGTTGTTGCATTATTTATCTTCTTTCACATTCGTCTGGATTTGGAGTGAATAATGACAACACTTGATGAAGTATCGAAACACACTTTTATTTACCAATATTAATCAGGACAGCTTCAAAACACTTTTACAGTCGTCGAAGAACTACTATAAACACGCTGACACAATCAGCAACACAGCCTTCAGGTAATCAGGCTATAACGGTGGAGACAGCTTCACTGCAAAGCACCAGAGTACAGCTCCCGACTCTGCTCTGTCGTTTTCGGTACTCTTGAGTACTTAACTTACTTCGGAACTCTTGAGTTCGGTACTCTTTTCGGTTACTTTTCGGTACTCTAAAAAGGTACTCTTGAGACTCTCCACGCTGCAACTCGCAATGCACTTGACACACAGAGCGCAGCTTCCGACTCTTCGGTTCAGTCATTCCCAGAGCTCAACCTGCTCTCTCGACAATGCACTAACCGCGATACACTAAGAGACTCCTTTGGTGAACTCGACGACTCACTCGGCACTCGCTGCCCGGCTGTCAACTCGATCAACTCTCCAGGGATTGACTCGCTAGATGAGATACCAACTCAATACTGACTCTCTCATACTCTATGTGAGGCACACACACACTGATTGACTGCGGACCAGCAGGGTTTATATAACTTTCGGCTTGTGTTTGAGAACATTCTGTGTTAAACCGGTAAGAATTCGTTCCAGAAGGTTCTCCATCTGTCCATGGCATATTGCCAATTTTGTCGCCAAATGAGCGATTTCTCGCCAAATGTGGCAACCCTGCCTTAAAACTGCTTTGCTGTGAAGCTATCTTACTACACCTGTACGTTTTGTAACAATATAAAATGCACCCTTTTCTTTGCCCCCTCAAAAAAACTGAAAGACATGTGCAATGCTCTTATCATTTGAAATTATGCATTTGG